TCTCATATAACGGTAAATTTCAGAACTGCTTGAAACTTCAAAATCGAAATTTAAGGACTCTAATTTACTCAAAATTGATACGCCCCGGCTTACCATGTAGCCGTAGCTTTCGGTAAGGTGAAAAACATATATTTAATACGTGCGCCGGGTATTTAATGTTCGGCTCTGCCCGAACTTAGACTTTCTTACTTGTTTTTTTATTATAATTGTGGCGAAATAAAATCGATGTAATTTTTTCGTCAAAAATAGCCCTCGTAAGTCCATCAACGCCGACAAACATAATAGGGCTGAATATTTACTTTTTAACAATGTTTTTTTTTGTAAGCTTTGTACTACGATTTTTTCTTTTACGAAAAATAGAAAAACACAAAGTCTTAGTGGTAGAAGTTATAACTGCTATTTCGAGATCACCACATCCTCCTAATTTTATTCTAAAATCCGCAGAACTTAAGCAATCTCATGATTTTTTTTTTTGTATTGCATTCCAAACATATCGTGCGTTTTGTGTTATGTGAAAAATTTATAGCAATATTATTCATATTGGCCCCAGTTTTTCTGGCCTTTTTATTTACTTTTTTAATGTGACGTTCTCCCAGAAAACGAGTGACATGTGCCTAGTTACTTATGCAGATATTAAGCTATACAATTTTAAAGTAAAACATTTTGCTTTAATGTGCCAAGCACAATAAAAGTACCGAGTTTGGTACAAATTGGTAGAATGGTTACCGAGATACATATATGTATGTGATCATAAGTGGGCGGTGCCACGCCCATTTTCCAAAATTTTATCATAAACGTATTTCTTGGTAAATAATAGTGGCAAGCATCAATTTTGAATAAATTAGCTTCAATATTTACTGATTTATAGAAGATTTCGTATTTCTCTAAATTACCGTTATATGGGATGTGGGCGTGGTTATTGTCTGATTTTAAAAATTTTCGGCCATTTGGTATGCTCTGCCAAGTCTGGAAGAACCATAAGTGCGCGTGGTTATGCCCATTTTTCAAAAATTTATAATATTCTTTTTTTTCGTCTAAATATTATTGCAATTTTGAGTGAATAATCTTCACTCTAAAATATCGGAGTTTTCGTATTTCTGAAAATTAGCGTTATATGGGAGGTAGGCGTGGCTATTGTCCGATTTTTCCCATTTTTAATACCATCCGTCCTACGCCCGAAAGGAGTGCACGTACCAAGTTTGTTATGTGAACAAAGTTATAATACCCTTGTGCACAAGTGCTCTGGGGTATAATACCCAGCAATCAATTTCAAGTAAATTCATTCATCATTTAAAGCATATTAACTGACAATGTACACACTAGGGTATTCGATCATTCGGCTTTTTTCGAAAACCGAGTTTCGAGTTATTCGGAAAATTGCAATTTGAAAAAAAAAACGGTTCCCCATTTTCTAATTAAGAAAAAAACATATTTTCTCTTAACTAATACTTACTGTTAGTGCGAAATCATGACCAGAATTACAAACGATAAGACAGCTAAAATACGTATATGTCACTTTAGCTTAGAAATAGGTAAGGCAAAATAACCTCGAAGTATTTAGGAATAAAAGTAAAACAGAAAAAAATAGTAAAAAATTCATACTTTATAGGTTTTCCTTTTTCGGGAAAATCGAGCATGTACAACCATCCACTGAACAAGACCGACTACATGTATATATATATATATATTATTATAGACGGGACATTCATCGATAATCAATCAACACCGTCTTCAATTCTATCATCGGAGACCAACCTCACTTATCGTAGACGAAGAGCTCGAGATGCTTCATGAGTCTCGCGATAATAAGACACCACTCCATTCTGGATATTGTAGCTAGTTAAACTCTTCTGTCCAATTTGAATAAGGTTCCTCGACAACACTAAATAACCACCTCTTTGTATGCCTACTCACATCAGCTCATTTAACATCCCTCTCCCTATGGCCCTGAATCTGGCCTTTTCCTAAGCTTGCCGATAAATGTTCTTAAAATAAATATTTAGAGCTTTCAGATTCTGACATATAAATAAACTAGGTGAAGACCTGGTTTATTCGATTTTAAAAATCCGTTTTATTCATTATTCGAAAAATCAAAGTTAAAAAAAATCGAGCCAATACTAAAAAAAAAAGCCGGATGAAAATGGTTTGGAAAAATAGATTCAATCACCCTAGTGCATCATTTTTGCCAGTACTTAAACGCTTTTTAAGCGCCTTTTACCTTTCGGGGAATTTTTCCAAACTGCCTTCTCGACGAATTGGTTCACTGATTGAGTGAGTGATTGGGTGAGTGACATCGATGTCAACTCGTTAGTGGCTTCAAACAAAGTTAACGAATTCCATTTCATTTTGGCTTTCCATGTCACCTAGAACCAACCGCCATCTGGGTTGGCAAAATGCTGACGGCTGTAACTCAATTGAGGCACAATTACCTCACTTTTCATTCAAAATTGTTTGGCTTTTTTTTGAGTGTGCAAATTGATGAAGTCAGCGCAGCAAAATAGAAACGAATACAGAAAATAGATGAAATTGGAATTCAAGAATGTATGTAGGCATACCACTACCATACAATGTACAATATGTACTCGTATCAAAAATATGTTGTATATCGGTGACATTTTGATAAAACAACTTATCTCGAGTTAGGCAATTTTCTCTTTAAAGTAATATTTCATTGGGTTTTCAAACACAATTGTAACGATTAGCTAGCCATATGTATAGTTTAAGATGCCCTTTCAATAGAAGCTTAACAAAAATGCAAATATTTTGAAGGGAACTCTTTTTTTAATCCAAATTCAAACCTACTTAAGGCACTTAAGCTGTTTTATTAAAATGCCACATACATATAAATATGTATGTATATGCATGTATATGCTTACAAGTTAAGTGCTCTTATTCATAATTTAACGCTTTTGGAATACAACAACTAAACAGCTAAGCAGCCAATTTAATGGATAATGAAATACTTTCCATAGAATCAGCAGCGGCAATTGCAGCTGAAATGTGGCAGCAGCACGCGCTCAACACCAGTAATGCAACCACAAGCCGCTCAGTAGCCAGCTGCCACATTCTGACAATCAACCTGAAAACTGAATTTCATAGTTTTACGGTACTTAGTCTGCGCGCAGCGAAGCGTTTTAATTTAAAATGTTCATACAAAAGCGCATTGATCGCCTCCTCCTGCTCGCCCATATCGCACATCCCACATCACCAAGTATGGATGCACAACTTTTCATTGCAATTGTGCTGCTAGCTATTTACTACAAACTGAAGTGGCAAGTGCATTTCCATTTTCAGTTAGAATTATGCTCAAGTACACAACGGTTTTAAAATTGTGGTTTGAATATTTTGCGCTTTTACGTTCTCTTTTTTTTTTTAATCGGATATTTTTAGTTAAATATATAAAACTTATTGCATTTGCGCCTCCAAAAAATAGCGATGTGCAGCGTGTTTTTGTTCATTTACGGTTTAACCTGCGGTCACTGTTTGCTGCTGACCACTGTCAGTGCAAGTCCTCGGTCGCTTGCTGAAAAAGAGAGCAAGGCTACAGCTGTGGCCGCAGTCATGGCAACAAATTCTGCACAAATAGAAGTGGGTATTAAAAATGCGGAAAAGGATTCGCCACAGCAGGCAAATGTGTCAGCTTATCAACGAGAAAGTGTAAAGCCGAAAGCGATTCGCGCGGAAGCTGCAGCGTTGGAGACTTCTGCAGTAGAATTTAGCGAAGGTTTGTACTAAGTACTCATTTGTACATATCGATGGACTTTCGACAAAGCAGCTTCTTTGTTTCTCGGTTGGTTGGAACTTGAAGTAAAATATAAGAAACTTCCGATTAAAAATGTGAAATTTCTGGAATTAATCTCCAATAATGATATCAATTAGCCCAGTGTGCGCCGTATCCAGTGGCGCATTTTTTACCTAAAGCACAATAGGCCCAGCCAAAAATTGGCTAATTTAAAATAAAAATAATACTAATTTCCTCAAAAAATTCGTTTTTTTATCTAGATATTCTTAGAAACCTTCTGAGTATGCAGTTTTTTGGCCCGTTCAATTTTAGTAGCGCAATTTAAGTGCAAATTTAAAGTAGCTAGGACTGACTGTGATTTTTGGTTGCTCATTTCCTTATTGTCGAACATACTTTGAATGGAAGAAAATGCGCAAACAAAAAATTACAAAAAAAAAAAAAACAATGGCAACTGCGAGTTACAAAAAACTTACAAGAACGGTGATTCCGGATTCTTTTCTTCCGATTGGCTCCTGTTCGCGAATAACTGCACAGTTTTCAGAATTTTTAGTTGCTAAAATGGTGATGCTTTTCCAAATTCAATTAAACTGAAAAATGCATGAAAGAAAATACGTTAAAGAGTGCTAACTATTTGTATTTTATTTTCTTCCTAAAGCAACCCTTACATACTACCTTTACTCTCCGTTTCCGTAAACGCAATTATTTTTCCGACATGCTGTCTTAAATTATTATTATTAAAAATCTGAAATCCTGACATGTAAACTTTATTTCACCGGACTTAACGCACGGAGAGCATATTTGCATTTTAATTCACAGTTTATATTATTAAGTCACACTTACATTCTATAATACACTGTTGAAATAACCTCTCTCTCTCTCTTCTTCTTCTTCTCCATCATTACACAGGTCGTGGCAAGTATAAGCGACGCAAAATGTTGAAGTACCTGCAGCCGTTGCTGGTTGGTGTTTTAATTGTAAAGTTCATCCTGCTGCCGCTCGTTCTGAAAACGTTAACCGCGCTCTCGACATCGTCATTTGTGATGAGTAAAATTGCATTGGCAACTGCTGGACTATTTGTGCTTAAATGGCTATTTTCCGGTTCCGAGGACGGCAGTGGCTACAATGGAGGCGTCAAGGAGCGAACACATTTCGAGATTGTACATTTACCATTGCCACTGACGAAAACATATCAAAGGGGAAATGCAGGTGGTGACGTCGTTGGTGGTTGGAGTGATTTATCGCTAAGTGGCAGCAACAGCATATTGGCTGTAAAGCATGCAAACAACAAGCCCAGCAAATATATACCAGTAAATAGCGCCAAGGAAATGGCTCATATGGTGGCAGCTGCAGTGGCGACAGACAGCGTCGGCGGCAATAGCTATCGAAGCACGCGACCTTATGCTCGTCCCTATGACGCTGCTTTTTATGGTAAACCTTTTTTGTAAAAGCGCATATTTTTGATCAGGCGATTTCCCAACGATTACACTGGCATTTACATAAGCAGTACACAATTACCTTCTTTTTAACAATGTTTGCGCAAGTATTTAATTAATCATTATATTCGCTGATTAAAGCAATGGTATTAACTTGCACCATCTAAAGCTGTAACACATAACTGAAATGAATTTTAGCATGAATATATTTATGTATTTACATGTTTACTGTAATTACGAAATGCGAAGATTTGTATGAAATTAAAAAACAGGTTTGTTAGATGAAAAAATCCGGTTTATTCCATATTCGAAAAGTCAAGATTTCAAAAAACCGCCTATGGATATTCAAATAAACCGATAGAAACCGGTTTGAATCGAATCGAAATCGAATGAATCACCCGAATATATATGTATTTATATGTATGCATAAATATGGATATATTTGCTCTTACTTTTTAACTAGTCTTAATATGTGTAAAAATTGACGGATTTATAACACCGTGCGACAGTCAATTTTACACATGAACAAGTAATTTTTAGCAAAAGAAAACCGACCAATTCTCATATTAAAAACTATATATGTATATACATATATATCTCATAATCCAATGATCGGATCTAAACCGGATTAGTTTGGGACCACCTCTGAGATATTACCTTTCCGATGCAAAAATTTAAAATTATTAAACAAAAAAAAAGTTATCGAAATCGGTTGACGTGGTCGACTGACCGTATGATATACCTACGGTTTAAATACTTCAATTTCTTTGTATACAAGGGCGGTAGCCAGCATTTCATCTAAGGTGCAGGAGTTTATATAGAGGGTAAAAATATTTTAAATTGTATTTTTTTTGTGTATATAAAACGAGATTTTGGGTTTAAGCAAGTATAAGTTTTCTGGTAGCCTTTACAACGATACTAATTTTTTAAAAATAGGTTAGTAATTTTTTTGGTTAAAATATTTTTCTTTATAAAAAAGGTATTTTTTGCTTTCAAGTGCTTTTTCTCAAATTTTTATACACGAAGTATACAATATGCACACCAGAAGAAAAGGGGTTCCTTCGCCTTTACAACGATACCAAATTTTAAAAAATCTGTTAGTAATTTTAGTAATTTTTTTATAAAAAAAAGCTATTACTTCATTTTAAGTATTTCTTCTCAAATTTTTATATACGAAGTATACAAATACGCATATCGGAAGAAAGAAGGGTTCATTGCGTTAACAATCATACAATAACATACATAACAATAATATCAACTCTTTAAATATCGATTAGTAATTTTTTTGCTTAAAATATTTTTTTTATAAAAAAAAGGTATTTTTTTCCTTTTAAATTTTTTTTTCTCAAATTTTTACATACAAAGTGTACAAATATTCATATCAGAAGAGAAGAAGATATTTAGTCTAATCACGTTTACAATGAAGCCAACTTTTTAAAAATCAGTTCAAAATTGTTTGAAATAAAAGGTTTTTATAGCAGCTGTAATATAAGTTTGCAAAAAAAGTTATAAACTATTTAAATAATAGCAAAAGGCGATCTACGACTGTATTTTTAGTTTTTTAGTTATTTACATATAATAATAAAAAATAATTTTTTATCAAAGATCCTATTTCGAACTTCGAAGGCCCATATATCGATTCCGGAGGCTAACTTCGATAAACGGAGAAGTTACTTTTTTTACCTATGACTCAATCTCTTAAAGAAAATTGGTTTGGTCCAATACCCAGTGGAGTGTTGTACAGTGTTATGATTCCAGTATCTTCATTTATGTATATTGTAACTATCAATATCTTATAAGAGAAGTGTAAAATTTTTTGTATCTAAAACTAATAAAGGTAGAAGGATGAAATTCGAGGATGTGGTAGTTCACATATTTGTTCTTGACATATATTTTTTTTCAAAAATGAATATAGGACAACTCTAAGGATATTCAAGGATAAAGCTTAAAAGGACATTTTCAACATTTATTCGTCCTGGTGCAACAAAAAATTAAATTTTTTTTAATTCTACAAAATTTTTCCTTTTAATGGGTATCAGCTCAGATTGTTACTTTCCAATGCAACAAATCTTTTAAATAATTTTTGTATTCAATCATATCCTGGATGATTCAAAGTCCTTTAAAAAATATCCTGACGTCAGAGAGAAAAATTAAAAATGCAGTTATAGTATATTTGGCTCCTAGTTTTGTGAGTATATGGATTTTTTCGTGTGTTTTAAAAATTTTTGGTTATTGTCGCACAGTGTAATAAATATTAGAACTTTATACTTTTATTTAATGTAAAAAAAAAACAATTTCGCGCTAAAAATTGCATATGGTCGTATCATCGATATGTTAACAATCATATCGCAAGGTGGATTTCTTGTGTTACCGAAACACTTCTCATATACGAGCCTTACGATAGCAAATCATTCGTTATTATATCGCAGTGTTACAGAAACGGGATACAGGTAACTAACAATCTGTTAATACTTCTGAAAATATTAAATAAAAATGTGAGAGGAGATTTTTCTATATTGATACAACGATAAGAGAATTCAACAGAAAGTTCATAAATTCTTCGCCCTACTTTTGTTTGTTTGGAGGTGCAAAGCCGCCTTCATCTTTTCTACTAACTTACAATCCAAATTTCTTTAAAATTTTCTAGATTTTCTGGGGCAAACGGAAAATCAATATGCATCACTTGAGAAAAAATCGAAAATCGATTCTCGAGTTTTTTCGGATGCGAACTTAAAAAAATCGACATAAAATCGAATCGGATGGGCTCGTTTAATCGATCTTCGATTTAATCGATTTAAAAACGGCTCGATCGAAGAGCTACACGCGGATTGGCAGTACCGCAGCAAACCAGATCAAGACAAAATATTGCACTCAACAGACACAAAAATAATCGCGAAAGCTCACCCGCCTATTCGTATTGGCACAATTAAAAATGCCGCCGTTGTGAATCGCTTCCCGAATTTTATAGGTTTTCATTGCCAGTGAAAGTTATAAACCAAGCGAATGACACGGGTGCGTGTGCGTGTGCGTCTAAGTATTATGCATACCTTTTGTCTATATCAATACGTATATGTATATTACATACATATGTATGTATGTATGTATGTACTTGGCGGAAACGCGGTCGCAATTACTCAATGTTTGCGCTTGTACTCATTGCATTGGCGCTTCGCCCTGCCCTGGGCACGCTGTGCTTAGGCTTTTCATTCACGTGCATATCTAATGGGTGGATCGTCAAACTGACAAAAATTATTTGCTTTAAACAACGCCGTGTGAATGCCTGAATCAACAGCAACTCTGATTTGTTGACTTTGAAATGCGCAAGTTAAACTTTTTTTGGCTTAGGTACTACGAGTACATATTTGCGTTTTTCAACGAATTTTATTTTATTTTTCACTGACGGAATCGCAATTGTCATGCATTAGCAATTAACATGTATCCAACGGTGCACAGTGTAAGAGTTGGCCCATTTATCTGCTTTTAATTCGGTAATTCGAAAACTTTTGACGATAGATTGTTGAAATTTTGCCCAAAGTAGGGTTTAAGATAAGGCGAGGCTTTGTACAAAAACTTGGTCTTTTTGACGAACTGTCCCACCAACTGTCGTATTTTCTGAAATGCAAAATATGAGATTTTTCAATAACTACAAAAGCTAAAATGGCCAAAATTGATATTTATGTAGAATCACCATGTAGCAAGAAATTACAGACACTTGTGGTCAGCTGATTAAGACAAGTAACATTTTGATTAGTTTTGGCTATTTTTCTTTTGTTTAATTAATGTTTATATTTTTTTATAAAAGTTTAGCACTTCACCTAATTAGCGCCACGTATAATCCACATTTCAAACTTCGTAAAAAAATTATGAAAATTCAACAAATTCAAAGTGAAGTGTAAAATTCAAATTTTTTTCTTTCGATTCTATAACACTTTGGTTGATGCAAAAAAAAACCGCTTTTCTTTTGTTAAAAAAAAAAACATATATGCGCTATAGTGAGTACACAAGTTCTTTTTGTTTGCTGCTGACGTAAAAATTGTACCAAGCTATTGAAGCATCAAATTCAGGTAGTGCTTCATATTTCTCTAAGAAATATCAATTGGTTTACTTTTTTCATATCAATATTAATTTTAAATTTTAACTTTTTGAATGCAAGAAATTTTGTTGAAAAAATCATCTTTGTAAAGTGCTATTATTTTTTGTCTATGAAAGTTATTGTGTTTTTAGACTGCTGTATTATAATTTTATTAATTGTAAAAAAAAGCCGCACTAGCCAAGCAAAAACTTGTAAATATTGAATTTAGTAAAAATAAAAAATATTTTTTAAAATATATTAGATCCGCCATTTTCGGTTTTTAACATTTTATATAATTTTTTAATTGTATAAAATTCACGCAAATGGAATTCGTTAAATGATGTTGTCCCTCTAGATTATTATTTCGGACCACTGTGCGGCGGCCGCAACAACCACAGCAGCAACAAGAGTGCAGGAGAGCGCAACAATTTGCCCATACGCCATTGACCAAGCGCAGAGCCAACTACTACCTACATACGTTCTTCCTACTCTTCATCTGCTTTCTTAACTATGACACCACTAAAGATTACCTAACTTTGCGCAGTCGTTTTGTTTTTTTTTTTTGCTGTTGCCAATGTGTTTTGCAGTTGGTCGCCGCAGCAGCAATATACGTATGTACATACATCTCTCACGGCAATTGTCAACAAAGTCAGCACCAGTTGCTTGGCTACTCCACTCCTTTGGTTGTTGAGCGACTTTAAAAGATACATACCTTTCTTATTACTTCACTGACTTGCATAAATACAAATGTACATATCAACAGATTTTTCGTCATCTTCCTCTGTTGGCTTTTGCTTAACTTTTTGTGTCATCAATTTCACTTTCATCAGAAAATGTTGCGACATACTATTACATACATACATAGGTGCGCTAAAACGGTGCCGCCATGCAGGCGTGTAGCACTTGTCGAACTGCTTTACACAAAGATGCTATCCGCAAAAGGGCCAACTGATAGACTGGCATTCTCTCGACCTGCTTCTTACCTTCCATT